TGAAAAGAGACTTTATTTACACCACCATTGAGTTTGATGCTTTACTTTTGGATGTCTGAGAATGCTAACTTTATTGTAGGTTATACTAATTTTACTTCCAGGAAGAATTCAGTTTGTATTTTCTGTTCAGCAATTTCCCCCCCAAATACACGTTCCCTGATAGTGTCTATTTTGCTTTCCTTTTCCCAGAGCAGAGGAAATTTATTAGGATTTCCTCTGTGCTTGTAGGACTTGGCTGTTAAACCGCGATCGCTGTGTCGAATTTTGCTCATCCCGTTATTCTGCTGCCTTCTCTTCATCCTGCAAATGGCTTATTGCTCGGGAAAAGTTTTAATAGTCTTATTAATCTCTTGAATTCATATTGTTAATAAATGTCATCTGAAATCTCAATCCCGGTTACCCTTTGGGGAAAAGAATACTTTACTGAAACATTGTGCCTTCCAGTTCCAAGCGTGGAGTAAAATTTCTGATTGAGCTGCTGCTGGTTTCCACAAGGGAGGGAGCTCCGCCGTCCTCCGCTGTGTACCAGCTGCTGCAGACAAGGGCCAGCGCCGCTGTACAGCCTCTGCTCAGTCCCCTTCCTTCCACTCCAGAAAAGCTGCTAATTTTACTGAGCTGTAATCAAGCCAGAAACACATCAGAGCCAGTAGTACTCCAGAATACGTTTTAGATGTGGAAAAGAAAATGATGAGATGATGAAAAGGGTTTGGCCATACCCTTTTGTAAATAAGAAAAAAATGTCCTAAGTCAAAGGCACCAAGACAGGAATAGGAGCCCTAGTGTGTGAGGTTTTCCTCTCTCCAACACCACAATTCAAAAGGCCTTTCAAATACAATACGAGTTTCAGACCAGAACCACCTATGAGCATGTGCCCAGCATAAATGCGGGCAAAATACAGGGGCAGAATCTGCTCCCTTCTTCATGTTATCTTTATTAGCAGCCTCTTTTAATTGGACTTCCTTCAGATTACGATACCACTGATGTAAAAATTTAATGCCATCTGCCAAAACATTTTTGGAAATTGTTGACATTTCTGAAAATGTAATCCATGCTGCAGGAGAGAGTCCACTTTAGTCTCCTTTTGTAGGTGATGAGAAGTATGATGTTAATCATTAATGTATGTCTTAGATTATCTGTGCAGATAGTGCGGACAGGTAGTTTTAAGAGAATTTTTGTTATATTTTCTGATTTTTCCAGAATAGATTGTATGAGATAAGGAGCACTTAGCTTTTGCAGACCGTGATCTCAAAAGAAGGTCTATAACTGCATGCAAAATGTGTGCGTAAATTTGTTCCTAACTTGCATTTAACTTTATCGCAGCTGAGCTCTGAGATTAAGTAGCTGTGTTCACAAATGGCTGTAATTGGTTAGCTGTGTACTTACTTACTAATTTGTTCACGCAGCTAAAATAACCTGCATGCACAGAAATGTATGCACAGCTCTGGGAGAAAAGCACAGGGGTGAGAAGTGCTTCTCGTCTTGACTTTGTCTGCACTTCTGCATCTGCTCTGTGCAAAACAGTTTCTTAGCCATTCAAGTGAGAGAAGTGGAATGGGAAGATGGTGCTGCCAGGCCAGACTTAGCAGGTGCCTGCACCTGCAGGCAAGGAAATAGGAAAGTCAACTTTTGAAAAATCTGATTCAGCTTCTACCTGGTCTTTCCGATCAGTTGGGTTTTTGATGTTATTTTTCCTTTTTTACAGTTTCTTCCCCTGAGTTTTGGCTATTTGCTTGGTTTTTTCAATTTTTTTCCCCAGTATAGAGACAGTTGATGTCATTGTCCACAACAAAATGAAATTAAAGCAGCTTGTTTGAAATTATTGTAAAGTTTTCAATCTCTGACAAATGATTGATCTTTCAAAATTGTCAGTGGTTTCAAATCTCAATCTAAATTTACGTACATGTTATATTTGCTGCTATTTGTGCAGTGTTAAAAGGCTACTGAGCAGCACGAGATACAAAAGAGTTTTTAAGCACGAGATGTTGAAACAGTGTAGAATTATTTATACTTTTGTATTTATTTACAAAATATTGTGGCACAAAATCTTTTCCTGTTTTCATACAGCTTTGTTTTGTAAGAGTCCTCCAGACAGGTGTTCCTATGCATTGGCATAAATCTTTTAATCTGCAGATCCAATTTCTAGAAAAGGGGCAAAGTTGTGCTGCAAGTATTTGCTTTATTTCTTGTTTAGTTTCCTTGTTTACAGCAAGTGGTACTTCTCAGCTTGACTCTTCTATCCATCTTTGTTGGTGTCACTGAATAAGAGGATGCATTCCTAGAAAACAGTAAAATTTCTTTTTACCTCTTGTCTGACCAATGGGATTCCTTAAAGTTTGAGTCTGGCTTTCTGAATTTTAGAGAGTGTTGTATTTGTTGCTAGCTAAGAGGACTTTTGGCTGCTTTATGGCTTCTCAAAGACTTTGCCGAGTTCTGCAGACTTAACGCTTCACCCTCAGTTCTCCGCATCAACTGAAAAACAGTCCAGCTCACATTTGCTTGCAGAAAGCCTTGGTGTTCAGTAGAGAGTGGCTTTTGGTGCTTTTTATTCCTCCTCTTAGTTTCCTGTCGCTTCTTTAATTTCTTTTGTCTGTTAGCGTCCAGATTTATGGTCAGCATTTGTTAGCGCATGGAGCCGAGGTGCTGTGTGAGCTGTCTGTATCCCAAGCCTCTTCCTCTACAGAATGGGAGGCAGCAAGTTGTGCTGGCATTCAGAGCCCCAAACCAGATCAGCACCTTTCCCAGCTGGGTTTGGAAGGTAGAAAAGCTACATGCAGATAGAGATGCCTCCGGGCAAGAAGTGAATGAAGGCTGCTGGTGGTTAATGGTTGACATGGGACATAGCTGTTGCAAAAACTGTTACGGGCACAAAAAAATTTGTTGTATTGAAAGGTATCTATCTAAAAATCATATGCTCAGTTTCTTACAAACTATTGGCACTTTGTTGTTGGTTCGGATGGAAATCTGTTTAGCCAATTGAGCTTCCGGGAGCGCTGTGTCACTTCTGCCAGTCCCTGAAGAGGGTTTAGGTTTCAGCATGAGCCTCTTTCAAATGGGATCAGGTGATGCAGGAAAGACCTTCTCTAGAAGCCATCAGCATCACCAAACCGGTCACGGTGTTAATAATCTTGAAATACGTGGGAGTACTAAGCTAAGGTACCTGCTCAGTCTTCCAATCCTTTCAACACACATCAAAAAAAGAAACTAATACTAGACGGAGGTGTCTCATCAAAACATTACCAGAAGCTGCCGTTTGGCAGCACCGTGAGGTGGTACCGGGCAACATTAATCCTCAAAGAGCAGTCAGTAAAGTCCTATCAGTGATCTAAGCGTCTGAGCGACTGGCTTTGAGGAGGGCTGCTTCCCTCCTGGCTGCGTAACGGGGAATCAACGGCAGCGTGTGCGGGGTCGGGGGGTCATGCCCAAATGCGAGCTGCAAATACCTGCCCAGGAGGTCTGTGCCTTGGGAGACTCCCCCGGGTTTAGATGCTGCCTTTCAACCGGGCTGCAGTTCTTTCCCCCTCCTCCTTTTCAAAACAGGGGACGTTGCAATGTTTTGTCGCTTTCCCTTCGGCTTCGCAGCTGCTTACAAAGTTGCCTGGGAAGCCAAGCGTGCGTGCCTGCGTAGGGGGCAATTCCGAGAGGAGGGTCTCCAGCGATGAAGCATCGTGGCTGCCCAGCCAGGTGAGAGCTGGGCAGGTTTGTTCTGCCATCGCCCTTTAGTGGGGGTTGTGGCAGAGAGGAGGGGGGAGAGAGAGAGAGAGAGAAGTGGAGGCTGCAGCACCCTGGCAGTGATATCAGACACGGGATCTGGCAGCTTTGGGGTAAGCTACCACCTCTGCGCTCCACCGCTCGGCGCATCCTGGATCTCCGGCTCGAAGGGGAGAGGGACCCAGCAGCGGCGATCACGGCGACGTCAAATGGTTTTCTTTCTTCGTGACCTCTCTCTTCTCCTCTCTCTCATCCATAATTCACCTGAGAGCTTCCCCCCCCACACTCCTTCTCACTCTCTGTTTTGATGTGGAGAGAGGGGAGAAAAAGGGGCACCGGGCAGCGTTTATTTTGTTCGGCAGCTTTTTGCGGCGCGTTTCCAAAGAGCTCGCGGAAGGACCCGGGGAAAGCAAGCAAGAAAAAATAAAAAAGGCGCGAAGTGGTGGCGGGGCGGGAGGAGGAGGAGGAGGAGGAGAAGAGAAGAAGGAGAGGAAAAAAAAAAAACAAACCCACCAAACCAGAGACGGAGGGCAGAAGCCGGAGGAAAGGAGACTTTCGGCGCGGCGCTGCCGGGGAGGTGCGGGCGCGGCTGTGCGTGTCGGCGCGGGTGCGCGGGTATGCGCGGGTGTGCGCGGGTGTGCGCGGAGGCCGGGGGG